TATTCTAATTAAATATCAGATAATATACCATTTGAATTTTATCTAAAATATTATATATTGTTATCTAGTCCAAAATAATAAAACTAAATATTTCCATTACTTACATATTTCTTTCTCTGTGGTCAAAGAAATGAAAATGAACTTTCTTTGGGGTTTAGGGTTTGGGGCTTGGGCTTCCAGCCTCGCCCACCTTGTTAAGCGCTAAGGACTCGCTGGGAAACTGAAACAGAAACTGAAACTGGTATATGGGGCCCTTTAACGAGGCGCACACTTGCCGCAGATCTTGTGGATTGGGATTTATTTTTAGTTAACGCTAAATTGAACCGTGGCCAATGGCTCCTTCGTTCGGTTGGTTGGTTGGTTGGCTCAGTTCGTTCGGTTGGTAATTGCGGATTAAATGCATCGCGGAGCCTCATCATCAGATCGCGTACGCTGGGGGAATCTGATTAAGAATATTTCAATTAGCTCGCTCATAATGCTGGGTGCCACCTTCATATCCATCACCAGGGTTTTATTCCAGAGTTATATTCTCCTTAAGCTCCTCCTGCTTCTTTAGCTAAATTGCAGGCAAACTTTCCCATCAGCCAAGTGGAAAGAAAGTTTTGGGCAGTACTTTGTAGCATTCATCGTTTGGAGCACAGGAGCATCATCGATTTCTTTACGGTTTTTTGGCTTTTGCATTTTTGATTGATTCGATCGCGCGGGGAGCCTCTTTAGGATGCATTTTGGCATGCTAATTAAGTCACTTGACCAAAGGGCAGTTGCGGATTCCAGATTCCAGTTAACGAGCCCCGATTAAGTGGGCGTGTGGCTCGGATCCTCCTTGGAAAGGGCTATGGGATATACATGGCTGGATAAACGTTTTCAATTGATTAACTTTCCATTTAATCTACATCCTGTTGGCCACCTGAAGGACATGCGCTACTGTTGATGATGATTGCCATTGCCCCGAAGTTGCATAGTTGCTTTATATATATATCTGTGTATCTTTCCCCGCTGATGAGTCAAAATTATGCCATAAATGCCAAGGTAAAGTTGCTCGAAATTTAGCTCAACTAAATCGTTGCTTCGAGGCGGCTCATCTCGTAATATCCTTGCAGGGAGAAAAAGATAAAATATTGTATTAAAATATATATTTTATTATTAAGTAAAAATATATTCATTTGAAGGTTTTAAATGTCGAATAAATATATTTATTTTATATTTTGTGTCCTTCATTTATAAATATATTTTTAAAACATGTAAAAGTCATTATACTATACCTTTTATTTTCTTTCCGTGCAGCTTTGCACTATATCATAATCCAACGTAGGCAATCAAGCCATCAAAATATCGCAGCAACCGAAAACACTTTCATTAAACTAAATTTTTATTGTGCCACCAGAAGCAGGGGATCCCAAAGATCGGCGTCATTTTCATTTATGGCAATCTCTCGCTTGATTCAGAAAAGGCTGACTATAAAACTTTGACCCAGTTTCCTCGCTGGTTGTTATCATACGATATATACGTATGCGTTCGAAGATATTCCCTCAACTTTTGGCAGTTGCAGTTGGCTTTCAAGCAAAATTGCCACAAATTACACAGTTTTCGGGGCGCAAAAGTGTGCCGCATGCGTGACAGGGCAGTGCGGCAACTTTTCCCCCTTTATTTTTTTTTTCTTTTGTAATTAAGCCCTGGCCGATGCAGCAGATTAAAGTAAATAATATCTGATGGTAGTGCCATGTGTCCGCTGCTTTACAATAACTCATAAACTGTAATCACTTAGGTCAGCAGCATGCCGGGCAGCAGGCCGCGAAACTAGTTATCCTTATCGATGTGCTCCACTACCCAAGTTCCCAAATGATTCCCCACATAACTCCTCGATTTCCAATCGCATCGAATCGAATCGCACTGAGAGAAAAGCACTTGTGAACCAGATTCCTGGTTTATGATGGATTTCGTCTTGACTTTTTTGCATTTATCTTAGAATATGACTAATTATGATTATAGATTAAAGATATATTCGGAATTTAAAAGTATTACTTGCGTGGGGATCAAAGATTTATATTACTTCTAAGTTTATCAAAATTTTAAATGGATATTTAAAATTAATAAAATTAAGTGTCATGGAAATCTTATATCATTTTTAAAAACCAGGATTAAAGATATATTCGGACCACAAAACTATTACTTTCGTGTGGATTCAAAGATATATATTACTTCTAAGTTTATCAACATTTAAAATGGAAATTTAAAATTAAGTATCACGAAAATTATATACCGTTTTTGAAAACCAAAAAAATATTCTTAAATTTGATTTTGTGCATAGAAATTTGTAAGCCCAATAAATCTCTATTTTTTATTTTAACAGAATTTTTCTCGATTTTAGATAGATTTTTTTCCCTGTGTAACGAACCAAAACGAAGATGCTGGTGAATCGCCACCAATAAAAAAGCGCTGTTTATCGCCGTTATCCCCTTGATTTATCTCTCACTTTACAAGGGCCACACTTTTCCCGGTCATAATAAACAATTTCATAATTGCAATTGGGGCTTTAAATAATCGATAACTCTGGTGGGGCTTTCTATTCTCCTTTCGAAATCAATCAGCGGCTTATCTAAATTGGAACTGATAGATTCTGATTGGATTTTAAGGCACACTTTCGCTGGCTTTGCCAATGGAATTTCTGAGGAATTTCTACATAATGGGGGATAAAAAAATAATAATAAATGCATGTATAATCGCACACATGTTTACTTTCATAATGTTGGTATTTAATAGTAAATTACCTTTCTATAAACATCATTTAATTTGATTTCGAAAAGTTTAAAGAAAACTTACCCCATTTCTAATTGGATTTCATCATCTTTTTCCTACACACACACATGTATGTATGTATGTACTTATGTATGTGCTTTACAAATGGCGTCGCAAAGATCGGCGGCAGAACTGCGAAATTAACAAATACAAACGATATTGTTAAATTTATAAAACAAATGCGTTGATAAACGTTAAAAACTTGTTGTAAATAGTTGCAAATCTTATTTGCATTTCATTTACATACACACATAACCACATACTTACATTTGCATTTTTCAGCCAGTACACACACACACACATGTATGCGGGCAAAACGGAAAACGGCGAAAAAAGCACAGAACTCGAAAACGCTCAACGAAAAATGTTAGTTAATTAGCAACAAACACTTGCTTTACACTCGCGTTACTAAATAGCCCCATTTTATTCACTTTTTTAAGTGATTTTAATTAATTTCCGATCCGCGAAGAAAAAAGCAACCGACGCGCACTTGACAAAAGAAGAAGTGAGAACTCTGGCAACTCTCCACTGAGAGGACAAAGCGGAATGTCAAAAGCGCCGGTGCGGCGATCGAGTGCGAGGAGAGCGGCAATAGCGGGTGGGTGATTTTTGGAGACATTCCATTAGCCAAGCACTAGTTGTCTCTCTCACCCATGCTTACGTAATGCAATTTTCTTTACGTTCGGAAAACTTTGTAATTTATCAACACTTTGTATATTTTAGTTAGTTTGAAAGAGTTTTACCACAAGTTTATAAAAGAATCGATGTACTAACATTTTTTATTGGACTCTTGAACAATTTGCAGATGTGCGAAGCGACAAAGCCGTTATCAAAGATTTTTTCGTCGATCCTCTGCTCAGTTTACTTTTTATTTCGCTTTTTTGCCATCTTATCGATATACGATATGCGAACCCTGTTTGCTGTTTAAATGCGTATTGATTATCATTAGTTAAGTTGTTAACTGATTCCGTTTAGAGATTTGTCAGGCGAACAACCTGGCCGAGGATTCCGATTCGGCTGTTGAAATATTTTAATGTGATTTATCTGGCCGACTAACAACAGCGAAAGAACAAGGATCGTACGATCGATGGAGCCATAAATCAGGCGGAGCTTTTGCGGCTAATGAGACAGATTGCCCCGTCTTCGCCGGGATTCTTCTCTCTTCTCGCCACGTTCTTCTGGGGGTCAAATGCCGGTGGTCTGCAGGTCCTGCGATAAAGAAACCCATCCGATGCGATACGATCCCCAAACGCAATTGCAACAAATGATATTTTATTGGTATTTGATGAGCAATTGTTGGGTCAATAAATTTTAAGCTCGATGTGGCTCATTAGAGAACGAACTTGGTTATGCACTTAGAAAAAAAGTAGGGTCTATAAAAATCCTAAAATTTAATCCGCATTGTGTAAATATATTTTAAAGGAATTAAAAAAAAAAGAATGGGTTATAATCACAAGAACATTAAGAATAAATGTAAAAAAAAGTAGGGTCTATAAAAATCCTAAAATTTAATCCGCATTGTATAAAAATATTTTAAAGGAATTTAAGCAAAAATAAGTTATAAACACAAGAACATTAAGAACAAATGTAATGCTGTAAGCCCACTAAAATAATATTTAATATATATAAAACTAAAACAAAGTATAAGAAATATTATGGTAAGTAGAACTTCAATGTTACTCAATAAGAAATACCATATAACATTTTCTTTTTTCAGTGTTAAAGGTCTTGATCTGGATGGAAACCGACCACCGGGTGCGTTTCTTGTGGGAGACGCGAGTCCTAATCCCCGGTTAAAGCACAAAAAATAACATCACATAAATAATGCGCTCATTGAGTTCCACTTCACTTCACTTCAGTTTGAGTTTGAGTTCCAATTTCGGATCGAGTTGTTTTTACGGGCCCCTCAGCATCATCTTCTCCTCTTTTTTTCACAATAAATCACGCGACAGGCCAATTAGGTCCGCACAATTTGCGATCACTGATCTCGGAGAGGAGTTAAAAAAAAACATTGCTTCGGAAAGACCCAAAGAATCATTCGCCGAAACTCTCTCCCCCCCAAAAAACTCCAATTGCAACTCAATTAGTTAAGTTATGGAATCGACTGTATACCTTGCTTATATACGATATGATATCTACATGACTTATGAGGTTGGTCAAGGTCTGTACTTAGTTATCTATAATTCGTGATATGAGATATAATATTTTGCTTCGATATCGATTTTATTTCAATTTTCGTTTGTACATTGAAAAGATCTTAAGTCTAGGGATGGAGATCCCGAAAAAAAAATTTGTAACTATGTTAAATATCTCACTTATTCAATGTTTTTTTTTCTAATTTTAGGAAAATACTTTTCGGCAACATTTTGGAAACCCAACAATCGTTTCAATACCACAATTTCCACACTCCACAAGCGAGTGCCAAGGTGAAGATCTGCCAGAGAGCCAATTGCCTCGCAGAAATGGCCGAATTTACCGGAGCAAAGCCCAATCTTTGATTGCCCACATCGAATTCGGTGTAGAAGCGACCCAAGAACACATCGCCCATGATCCAAAAGTCCTGGCCCGAAATCGATTGAATGGCCAGCGAGCAGAGGTAGTTCTCCTGGATGATATAGTACTTGGCCTGGATCCTAAAGTCCACGCCATTGATGGTGATCACCAGATCCGGATAGGAATCCAAACTCGTGCATTGGAAGGTACCCTCGGAATCGGCACCGAATAGCTGGGCAATCTGGGTATATTCCGCCACGGGAGCGACGATCAAAGAGGTTCCAGTATCCGCAATTGCCGCATCAAAGGTACTAATGAGCGTACTACCGATCTTAATGAAATCCGTTTGGAATTTCCAGTAGGCCGCCTGGATGACATCCACATAGGTGAGGCCACCTCTATAGAGTGAGGGATCCGAACCGCCCAAAATGAGCTCACCGCCGTAGTTGACCACACTACCATTGTCGCGCAGGAAGAACGAGAAGACGGGGCTCTGAACAACGCCCTGATTGACCATATTCTGGAACGTGGGCGTTACACCATCCACGGCCAGACTGGGGAAGCCCATGCCCAGAATTCCATCGAAGTAGGCGTCCACGAAATTCGTACCCACCTCGGTGGTCACCTCACCGAATGTCTGATTCTTCGCAATCAGCCCGGCGAAGCCTACATAATCCATCGATAGATAACCGGTAACACTGCCGGTACCGTAGGTTATCGAGAATGCCGTTCCATTCGCCACATGCGTACTAGACTCACTGCCATAGTAGGTCTGATGATCCTGGCACGCCTCGCTGAGGCAACTGCTGCTCGGAACCCAGAGATTCGAGGATCCCGTGTCGAACTGCACCAGGAAGTACTGCGGCGGGGTTCCGATACTGATATTTCCGTAATACTGGAAGTTATCGAAATTCGATAGCTGCTCCACGGGATAACCGTTGGCGGTATATTGACGCGTGTATTTCTGCTGAATAAAATCCCGCTCGGCTACAATCATTTTGTGACTGCGCTTGAAGCTCGGCGATCTCTGAACGGGTATGCGATGTAAAGCGGAACTGCCCAAGTTCACCAGGATCAGTAGGATCCCGGCCAGAAAGGCCAATTTTTGGATTTGAGAACCAGCCATGTTCACAGTAGCAAATGGCAAACACGACTAACTGGGCCTTCACTATCTATTGGGGTTCTTATAAAGAAGGTTCCACAAAGTATGGGTGGCTTTACCAATAACGATAACGATAATAGTGTCGCGTGTGTGCTTCCCGCGAATGTACATACCATAATCAATCAAAAAAAGTATTTTAAAAATCTCAGCTCGATAAGAAATAAGGTTTATATCCACGCGACGAGTTCAAGAGTTTCAGAAATGTATGTATTACTATCTAATTTTAACGATTTACGGTCTTTATAGAATTAATCCTAATGCTATCGTCTAGTGATATACATTTCACCATTTCACTTACTCACTGCGATAACTGGCCTTAAGTTTCATATCTTTTCGTTATCAAATTATGATTCAATGTGCGTTGATCACCAACAAAAAAAAGTCACCTAATCCTTTAGGAAATGACGATGAAAACTTTGTTTTCCTTGGAAACTAAAAAGTGTACTTTTTTTGTAGACCTTCGTTATCAAGAATTGATGACATACAACATACGTCATATGTTAAATAAATCATTCAAAATTGCATTTATTTTAAGAAAGCCTTAGAATGTTTTTTTTACCTATCTACTGTAGTTTTCTTTCAGTTTTTGTGGTTATATATAGTAATATATTTATATTAATATAGGATGTTGAGTTAGGAACCTTTTTCAAATGGAAATAACTTCCTTTCCGGCAAATTTGCTATGGGTCCGGGGCTAGATAAATGTTAATTAGCCTGGCTGGCCATTGCTAATGGAGATGTCAGGTTCCGCTTGAAGGTGTGGGAATATTTATGGATTGACCGGGCCAAAAAAAAACCAGACCCACCAAGAAGTACCAAGATGAATGAAGAAAGCCAGGGAAAAACAAAGAGTTATTGTTTTTAATGTATGCACAGAGAGTAGAGGCAGAGGACAAAGGTCAAAGGACACAGCAGAGGTCCTCGGCGGGTGGGTATATATATATATAGTGTGTGCTATATAGCTCTGTATGCCTAGGTGTCAGCCACTTGATTAGCCATGACCTAATGTTGCACTACACACAATGGGCCATGATGAGCCCTTTTGTCGCCCGTGCGGCAGTGTCAACTTGGATTAGTTGCGCTACCAACCGATCCTATGCAGTCTCTATATGTATATAGATTTACAGTGGCGGTGGAAAAAATAGAAATGCAAAAATTGTTCACCATAATATTAATTTTTATAGATTAAATAAGAAACCTTTCAAGTGAAATTCAAAATTTGTCAAAAAAAAATTAATTTTCTTTAAATTGAATTTAAATTATGAATTTTTTTTATTCTTTTTAGTCAAAATATTTTTACTTGTTTAAGATAATTTAAAGCTTTATAAATTTTACCTAATAAATATCAATCAACCAATTTAAAATATATATTTTTTAAAATTCCACTAAAATACTATTTTTTCAGACGCTGCTGTATGTATCACCCACCGATTCTTTGCGTGGGCGCTCAAGTCAAACAAATTGAAAATTTATCACCCGAAGCGAAAGGCACCACACACCGTACCCAAAAACTAAAAAAAAAAAAGAAAAACCGATGATGAGTTTGTGTGCCAAGGAAAATGCATTTTTTACACTTTGCTACTTGCAACGGTGGCGATCAGAAATTCAGTGAACCATTCGCAAATTGATTTGGATTTCGCTTTGCCCGAATGTGTCAACCGAACAATGTCCTTTCTCTGAATAATTCTCTTGGATTTTTCCTACCGACTTTTCGGATCTATCCGATTTCAAAGGAGTTTCACACGCAAATGCCGACTGGCGAAGCTCGTGGAAGTCATTGGCCCGCTGTGAACTGGCGGTACACTGGAAGAAATGCGAGCTTGCTGTTGCGTTTATAAAGGAGACTACCTAATTTGAGCTTTCTAAGAAAGAAAAAGAAAATATTTTACTAGATTTTTTTTAGAACCTTTACAGCAATAAAATAATTTAATGATATGAAATGAACAAGAAAATATTTCCTAAAATATTTTTATAATAAATGTGGCTCTAGTCTTTTCCCAAAAATTGAGATAAACAAATTATTCTATGACTTTTTAGAAATTTAGATATAGTATGCAAATAGACTATTATTACTATTATATATATTTTACATTTATTTTATATATATTTTATATTTATTATTTATAATCTTATTAATTGTTAAACCCAAGTTCCCCCACTTTTTCCTTAGTGAAATATCTTTGGAGTGGGTGCAGACTTTCGGTTCTGTTTGGCTGGGAGTTGGAGATATATATCTTGGGCATGCTATATGGCCCTCGGAGCTCGGGGCGCTGCGTTTTAACTTCAATTTCATTTCGCCTGATCGATTTTTGCACGCAAAGTGTGAGGGAGTCCCCTGATTCCCGATTCCTCGATCCTCGATTCCTCGATTCCCCGATTCCTCAATTCCCCGGATCTCCAATCCCCTGTTAACCCCCGAGTGCCTCTGTACTTAGGCATTGAATTTATTGTGCAGTCCGATCAATATTTTATTGTTTTCGCTAAAACTTCTGCACCTCCTTGGAGTTTTGCGAGGTGGTTCTGTGATTCTCGTGGTGCGTTATCAGTTTTTGGATTCGGACTTTTGAGGAGATCGAAGGTGCAGCTTCAAAGCGCCGTCGGCAAGGGGGGTTAAGGGGTTAGGGGGGTTTTAAGGGGTTAAGGGGAATCCATATCGGTTTCAGTTTCGGCCACATGCAAAACAATAATCGATGCCGGGCAATTGGGAGGCTCGCCGCAGTCATTCCATTTAAAAACGTGTTAAAGAGTCTCTCACTGGCGGTTAGGCGGTGGTTAAGGGGGGGTTAAGTCTGAGGGGCTCTCAAGGGGTTAAGATCACGCCCACAACTGCACCGCCTTGGCTTATTTGATTTTGGATGCGTTCATTCCGCCGCCCGCGGCTGCACTTCATCCTCCGCCTGAATTTATGATGTGATTTCGATCATTTGACATAATCTATTTAGCGTCTGCTCTCGTGCTCCTCTGAATTCTGAATTCTCTGGACTCGAACCGAAGTTCGGTATGGTATCCTCCTCCTTCAATCCTCTCCTGCATTGGGGGCATAATTTGTAATGAGATAATTTTATTTGCTTTGCCCAATGACTTGTGTTTGGTTTCTGGTTTGGTATACTGGTAGGTGGTTTTTAAAGCAGGGGGAATCTGATGGTTTCGCAAAGATATTAAAGTTGGTTGCCCTGTTGTGGCTTATTTATTAGTGCGTTTTCATGATGAAATTGTAGAGTTAGGTTAAAAATTGTTGTAACATTTCAATATTATATTCTTCTTTTAGGATCACTTCCTTGTGAGTCATCGGAACAATTAGTAAACTCTCTAACCATTATCTGGAGAAATTTGTTTTCACTGATAAAGGACACACGCAGGCTAGGAAAAAGGGAAAAGGAGACCCGCAGGATAATTTCGAAAACCCCTTAACCAAGTCATAACTTGATGCTATCGGGACCTACTTTAATGTTACTCAGCTACTAAAGTAGCTACTGATCTTGGGTATTTTTCTGTTTTTTTTTCGAAGGATGCGTTAGTTAGCATCCAATCTTTTACGAGCATAACTAATGTCCTCGGGATTTAACGACTTTCACCTACCGCAGCAGTTGACAAATCTTAACCCTTGAGGTTAAGGAAAAGCGGCTACTAATTGATACACAGAAGCCAGGGAAAACGAAAAAAAAACGGGGGAAAAAAGGGACACGCGCCCTGCTCGAGCGATCTGTATCGCCTGCGAGGACTACTAATTAAGGACCCACCGCACACGCAGAATCCACAGAACCAAAGAAAGTGCTGTAATTAAATTTTCAATCCACTTGCTACACAGAAAGGTTTTCTTTTTGTGATATAATGATAAATTTGGTAATTTTTGAAAATATTTTTAGTTCCTTTACCATAGTATAATAAATATATAATACCATATTGCAGATGATATTATGATATAATAGTAGTTTAAAATATTTTGTAATATAATGATAAATTTAGAATATTAAAATAATTTTTGGACCCTAAACCATATACAAATAAATATATAATATCAAATTGCACATGATATTATGATATAATATGCATTATGATTGTAGTATAAAATATCAAATAGATTTCAAGTTTTTTTCCTTTCTGTGTACATAACATTGTTTCAGTTTTGTTTTTTTTTCAGTTTTTTTTATGGTTACCTAATGAAATGTCTGCTGGGCTGACCTACATTGTAAGTCATACCCGAAAATCCAGGGATCACGGGATCCCGGGATCCAAAGACCGTTAATACCAGTACTGATAGTTACTAATTGTTTGTTATTAGTGCGCGCGCGGTTCTGTAACTGTTTCTTCTCGGAGGAAGATCCCCCAGATCGGTGAGGGATTATGCACCACAGCTCCATCGATGGCAATCAAGTGTGGTTTTGGAGTCCAAAATCGGAGACAGAAACAGAGACTCTCGGCCAGAACGGCGCGCTGATCGATAGCCATCACTGGGTTCGGTTGATGGTCGCGATCTCGATGGCCAACTTGTTTTTTCAATCTTTTTTATACCCTCTTTAAAGGGTATGCTAAATTGAGTTTAAAGTTAAATAACAATTTGATTTAAATATTTGATTTTAGATACTTTAAATGCAACGTTTTCTAAGTTTAAAGTCTACTTGAAATTTAACATGCGGACAAGATAACGGTGCTTGTTGCAATTAAATTAATTCTTTCATATTTTTTATTTAGTTATAGAGATGCCCAAATGTTAAATTGCAATATTAATATTTTTAGCTAGCAACTAAAAAATGTATCATAAATTTCCCCCTTTTGTATTTCTATGTCAAGTTCTTTTTGCTTTAAACTTCCCTTTTTACGTAGGGCTCCTTTTATAGTAATTATAGATTATTTGATTATTTTTTAGGGTATTTCCGGTTTCGATCCTCCGATATTTGCCTTACTTTCATGCTCTTATTTTTACATTTTGGTTTTTCTTTTCATTTTTCTCATCTCATTTCGTT